GGAGACCCGAACTGCAAAATTTGTTTTCAATTTTATCAGAATTGTGAAATTTTTTCATATACGAAAGGTTGGGGGTTGAAATTTTTTTTGTCGAAAATGATTAACCTGGTCGAGATTCATGTTTGGCATTCCCGATCTGCAAGAATTTCCGGCGACCTGCAAAATTTATTTTCAATTTAATGAGAAATAATGAATTTTTGGGTGAGGGTTGGAAATTTTTTCTGTCGAAAATGATCAACCTGGTCGAGATTCATGTTTGGCATATCCGACCTGCAAGAATTTCTGCCGACCTGCAAGGTTTATTTTCAATTAATGAGAAATGTGGAATTTTTCCATACTCAAAGACTGGGCGTTCGAAGTTTTTTCTATCGAAAATGATTAACCTGGTCGAGATTCATGTCTGGCAGACCCGACCTACAAAAATTTCTGGTCTCCCACAAGATTACGAGAGCACTGTCTACTGAGAACAATTTGCTGAGCTGCAGACCTGCAAAATAGTTATACCCGGTATAATTTATGAAATTACTATGGATCTTCATCAAGTAACAGCCGAATCAATCAGAAAAGTATCGGTCAGTTCTATCAGATTTTTTCCACAGTTCTAACCGAATATTTTTTAAATCCAAATAAAGTATAATAGCAGTAATCATTAATTATAAAAAGAAACACACTTTATTGTTAGATTTTTTGGAAGTAAACCGCGATACGTGTTTCGCTAAACAATGGCATCTTCGAGCATTACAATACTGTTGGATAGATCGGTAGTATACAAGTTGATTCGTGGTTCTTGTCCAAATTTCATATCGGAGAAACAGGAAGAACTTTTTCCAAAAGAATAAAAGAACAGTTTTTTGAATGTGAAGACCAATTCAGCATTTGACATAGGGGCATGACGTATTGCATTTGGGAGAGGAAGGTTCAAAACTCAACTTTTTGGAATATTTGGAACTCAATAGTTGTGAAAATTCGGGATTATTGCTCAACGATCAAACAGATTTGAATTGTTTCCTGTTGAATTAAGTTTTCAACGAGGAAATTAGTAGTAAGGACAGATTTCAAAAGTAGTCAAAATGATGGCTCAGGTAAATATTGTTATTCATTATTCCCCAGTTTCATGAGTTGTTCCTAGATTGTTATTGTTATATTGTTATATTGAAGTACAGTTTATATATTTACATGTAACATATCGTGTTTTTCAAAAGTATCAGATCCAGTAACTTGGCCTAGATATGTTTATCTGTTCTGCCATGTACTAGATCTATAGACTTTCTAAAAAAGTGTACATTTTATGATAATAACTAAGCAGTGAGTAGAGAAAAAATTTAGTAGAAAAATTAACATGATAGATTCAATGATTTTTTTTTAAAGAATAACAAACAATTATATAATATAAGTTGCAAATGGTGAGGATTCCAAACCGTTTCAAGCAGGGTCAGTTACAGAGGAGAACAGATAGTTTTTAAAGGTAAGGTTCATCTTAAATTATTATTCATTATATTATAAAATTTGTTTGAAAATTGTAGAATATGTTTCTTTGTTTCTTTTTTGAATTGTTCTAGTTTTCGAATACATTTCAATTCAATCGGAATGCAGTTGAAGAATTTAGGGCCGAAGAAAAAGAAAGATCTTTGCGTTAAAGATTTTCTGAAAAGTTGTATACTGAGATTCAAATTACTAGTGGATCTGGTTATTCCAGTTTTTCTCTGGTTAGATGTTTCGTGTCTGATGTACATTCTTTTTAAACACTGGTGAGTAAATAACAGTTTTATATTCAAGACCTGTGATTCTTGGTATAGCATGTCAGTGGAATAGCGTTTATTTTTTTTCAGAATAATTCTTAGAAGAATATTTTGTGTTTTTTGTAGAGAATCAAGTGTAGTATTGAAGGCCCCACCCCATGCTGTAATACAGTAGGTCATTACAGATTCAGCTAGGGAATTGTAAAGTAAAAGGAGATTTCTTCTGGTAAGTACGTCTCTCAGGATATAAAAACTGTGCATCAAGACTCTTAAACGGTTATTAACATTTGTGATGTGATCTGACCAGCGCGTGCATTGATCTAAGACTACTCCTAAATATTTGATTTTTTCCACTTTTTTTACTATGGAACATGTGCAATCGATCTTATGACAGTTTGTGATGTGTAATTGTATCAGAATATTTTTTGGTTGGGTAGTGACTGTTGGCGTAAATGTGAGAAATTTTGTTTTTTCAATATTCAGGGTGAGTTTGTTTAAGTTTAGCCAGTCGTGTATTTTTTGCAAGTCAGTCTCAGTAGTTTCTTTTACTTCCTCCCAAGTTTCTCCTGTGAAGATCAGAGCTGTATCATCTGCATAACAAAAATAGTGTCCTTTAAATCCATTAATTCTTGTAATATCATTCATGTACACAAGGAACAGTATCGGTCCTAATACTGTCCCCTGTGGTACACCGATTTTTACTTTTGAAACGTTACTTATTTCTTGTCCAACTTTTACCTGTTGTACTCTACTTGTTAGGTAATCAGTCATAAGGTCAGCCGACAGACCACGTATACCGTAATGGTGCAGCTTATTGAGTAAAATTTCGTGAGAAACTGTNAAAAAAAATATCGAAATTAATTTATATCTTCTAAACGGTAATAGATAGGTATAGAAAAATAGTATATGAATTTGTTGACAAAGTGATAATGAATCATAATATGATATTATATACGGGGTGTTCCATTTGAAAAATCAAAGAAGCCGCTACTTTATAGTAGAAGCGACAACGCCGCTTCGTCTAAAATATTTTAGACGTGTAGGTCATATTGATTTATGCATACTGTGGAATTTTTAGGCTGATCCGTTAAATAGTTTGCCAGAAACGGCTAATTAACGCTCATCATGAAAAGCCCTGTATGTCATGCGTTTTAAAATAAATATGATTGCCACAGTTAATATTTTATTCTCTTGAAATATTTCTCTAGACGGCATTCTGTAATCAAGGTTAAAAATTAATCGTAGCATTGCCTTTTGTTTTACGAATATTCTGTCAATTTCAGTGGCTAATCCCCAGACAGCAATGCTGCAACATACTATGGAGTGAAATTTTGCGTAATAAACCATTAGTAGAGATTTGGTATCTAGTTTACTTTTCAGTGACTTTATTATGTACTACGATGGGTTCAGTTTCTTAGTGCTCTCTCCATGTGAAAAGGGAATCAATCAGTATTCCTAAAAACTTTGTACAAGTGGGTCTATTCGACCCACCACCGCAACCCACAAGGGTTCATTGTGGGTCACACCTATTTACACTCTGCCAAATGAACCCAGCTTCTTAACGAAGCCGAATAGTTTGTACGGTGAGTGGTCTTTCAGGTCAGATGGTGAGAGTACGGATCTGCTGAACTCTAAGAACCTGATTCGGTTCCCAGCGGGGCAGGCACAACGTATATTCTCTGCTGTTTCATCATTTTCTAGACAGTGGCGACACACACTGCCTTCCGACAGTCCAAGTCTCTGCATATCATGATTCAAATAACAGTGAATTGTAAGGAGGCCATAGTTCATCCCTACTGTAGTCCAACAACTGTTTGATATCAAGCTTCGGCGTTTATTCACCACGTCTTGGAATCCTAGAAGATTCTGCCAGAAGTCCATAAATCTTCTTGCCATCCAGGTGTTCAGTGTTTGTTTGGCAAAGCTCAAAGCGATACCAATGACAGGTTCTGGTCCGATAAAGCCGCTTGCAGCACTCTCCTTTGCAAAAGAGTCAGCAGCTTCATTGCCTTCCAGGCCAGTATGGCCAGGAATCCAGACCAGAGACAATTTGTTAGCAGACAAAGGTAACGAAAATGCTATGTGTTACATTGAATTGTAGGCTGCAAATTCATGATAGTCGGGATGGAAAGAATCACTTGGGATTGTAAGTATAGCTCGGTTTTCTAAATGCATTGAACTCAAATTTATTATGATTATGTGTGATGGTCAGGTCCAAGAAATCAATCTGTTTCTCTATCTCTGTTTTGAGTAATGCCAAAGATAAAGTGAACAAGATGTAAAAATATGGAGTTTATGAGCTGGAGTGTCCGGGAGCAATAGTGTTAATGTGGACAATGTGGCCGACATTTCTCAAAACGGTATGCTGAACATGAATGTACCATGCACTCTCATAGTGCATGGTATATTACTGTAAAGAACTAGCACTAGATGTTTCATCAACCTACCTATAATCTGGACCCGGTCCAAGTTGCTTAACAATGATCACATTTTTCTTTTTGCCTCTCTCTAATTCCTGTAATTTCAATATTTCTTGCAATCTCACAAGGCCTTCTTCAGTTTCATACACAATGACGAAACTAGACCATTCTAAACTCTTCACCAACTCAGCTAAACCTTTGGCATAGAGCTCAGCTTCGGGATGAAAATTAAGCAAAGCCCTTGCTTGATCAGGATTTCGAATAATCGTGGGTTTCCATGACGCGGTGATGAATGGAATTTCAAAGTTCGTGCATATCGACTCGAGTATGGGGAACGTGTTGGGTGAGTCTACTCCAAATACTGCACTCACTCCTTGGTGAGCTTCCATCATATTACACACTGGAAAAAGTTAATTTTTATGTTTTTGAAAATATATTTCATGGTGAAATAATTAGTTCAATCAAGTATATTACTATTAGGTTGTTTCGAAAGTTTTGTCCGTTTCAATGTATTCATGTAGATCTATATCTCAATAAATATTCATTCATATATTTCAGAATGAATGTCAAGAATATCCAAATGTCTAAAAAGAATATGAAAGTTATTGGTAATATTACACCTGATTTAGGTCCGGTA